CCCGTGCCCCACGCCAGGAGCGGGTTCTGCTCTCCACAACCCGCCAGCAGCCACCTCTCACCTCCAGCTGCTTCTTGCGGGGCTTGCGGTCTTTGACGATCTTGGCCTTCTTGGCGGGCTTCTTCTCGTCCCGGTCGCTGTCGCCGTCACCGCTGGAGGAGCTGGCCGAGGCGTTGCTGTCAAACCTGCGCGGAGGGACTTGGCTTCAGCGACAGCTCAAGACCCCACCCCAGAAAGGTGAAGTGTGAGGTGGGGGAGACGCAGCAGCAAGACTTGGCCTCGAGCTCTCCCAGCCTCCATCAACCCAGAATTCGGAGACTTCCCAAGCTGAAGCTGCCGCCTTCACACTTAACAGCTCTCGGGGGATTTTCCTTCCACGAACACAGCTCATCGTTTTCTGATTTCCTGCATGTTTTAGGCACTCGCAGCGCCACACGGCTCAGCTCCACCGAGATCCACCTCCTCCTGCCGGGGCCTCGTCCAGCAGCCACCTGATCCCCCATTGCCCCTCCGGCTGCGTAACGTCGTTATAACAGAGCGAGCCCAGAACCACACCCGCTCCACGGGATTCGGAGTGCAGGGATTGACACAGCGACACTGGCTGGGCCTGGAGCAGTCCCCAGCCTTCGCACTGCCCCCACACAATGTCCCCAAACAGCACCTTCCAAAAGCCCCCACAGGCAGACCCCTCCCCAGCCTCTACTCACTCTTCAGCTACATCATCATCCTCTTCTCCAGGGTTGAAGGACTCATCTGCAAGGAGACAGCGCAGGGCTCAGCTCGTAGCAAGGCAGGGACGGACAGGCCTTCACCAGGGCGGCGGGGGGAGAAGGCCGAGCACCGAAGGCAGCCACCCCGGGAGTCCCTCATGCCCCCCCGGCCTCAGCCCTCACCTGTCTCCTCCCCAGAGCCGTCGCTGCTGTCGTTGGCGTTCTCCTCCCGGATCTTGCCCTCCTCCTTCATCCTCTCCAAGTAGGCGTCGTGCTGGTCCTCATCGGAGTCGGCGTATTCATCATAGCTCTGCTTCATGCCCTGCGGGAGAGCCGGCGTCAGA